GCAGATTCTTCAAATTTGAAATCAGTAGCTGAAAATTTAGCTAAATCAACCCTTCCAATAACATCTACTTCAAACATAAATATTACTTCAATACCTTCTTCAACAACACCTTCTTCATCATTATCAACCACTGTAACAAATGCATCTCCAATTCCTATCACTACAACAATATCTCAAAAAATAAATGCAACAACAACCCCTACTGGAACTAATAATATTTCTTCTGGACTTGTTTCATTATCATCGCTTTCCTTATCTAATCCTGCCCCTATTGCAACACCTATTCTTCCAGCAACCCTTAAGGATGTAAAATCTACATCAACAACTATACCAATAAAAAAAGAAATGGATAAACCAGAAAACATTAATAATAAAAAAGCTTCATCGCCTGCTTCTACATCATCATTAACTCCTACAACAAACATCATAAAAACAATGACATCAACACTGTCAACACCAGCAACAGCTACAAATTCAACCGACTCTAAAACAAATAAAAATGTTTCAAAGAATAATAATAGTAGTAATAACTATATTGATGAAAAACGAAGAAAATTCTTGGAAAGAAATAGAATTGCAGGTAAATATAAATATTATTATTTATATAATTCATCATTATTATTATTTGAATACATATATATTTATTTATTATTTATATATTTATATATTTTTATTTATTTATTAATTCATTTATTCATTTATTTTAAATTTATTTAAACTCCGTGAATGTAGCTTCCAAATGTCGTCAAAAGAAAAAAGCTTGGGTTCAAGATTTGGAAAAGAAGTCAAATGAAGTTAGTATCACTAATAGAAACTTAAAACTTATTGTAAATCAATTAAGAGATCAGGTTGCGGTGTTAAGAGGTCAACTTTTACTTCACAAAAATTGTCAAAGTAAGGTATTACAACAATACCTTCTCCAACAGGTAAATAATAATAATAATTAACAAAAAAAAATTAAATAAAAATTAATAAATATATATGTGATATATTTATTTGTATGTGACAATTTTTTTTTTTTTTTTTTTTTTTAATGTTCTATTTTATTTTTATTTTTACTAATTAATATAATTAAATATATATTTTTTTTAAATTATTATATAACTATTAAAAGTCCTCTATTAATCTATCGTTACAAAATACATTACAATCATTGAATCAAAATACTATTGGAAATCCATCTTTATTAAATTTTAAAAAAATTCAATAAAATAAGCAATAGTAACTAATTTATTAAAAATAATAATAATAATAATAATAACAATAATAGTAATATCATAAATTATGTATGTATATAAATCCTTAATTTAATTCATTAATATCATTTGAAAAAATTCAAATTTAAATAAATAAGTCCAATAAAATTATTCTTTAAAAAAAAAAATATATATATATATATATAAATTTTATTAGAATTCTATTTTATTTAATTTTTTTTTTTTTTTTTTTTTTTTTTTTTTTTTTTTTAAATTTTTATTTATTATTTTTTATTTTATTATTATTATTAATGCTTTTGTTTTTGTTGTAAATTACTATTAATATTATTATTTCATTTTAATCATTATTACTTTTATTATTATTATTATTATTATATATATATATATTATTTAATTAATTAAAGAAAAAAAATCAATAATTGTATTATAATTTAAATATAATCTATAATATTTTATTTATCTAAAGGATTTATTTTAAAGAAAAGGACAAATAGGATACATAATATGACAAAAATGGAATACAAAAAAAAAATTTTTTTTTTTTTTTTTTAAAAAAATATAAATATAGTTTAGATATAGACTACTTAAGATAAGATTAAAAATAATAATAATAATTCTATTGATTTATTATAAGAAGGAAGAAAAAAGAATTTTTTTTTTTTTTTTTTAATTGATAATAAATAATATATAAAAATTTTAATTATTATTTATTATTATTATATTATCATTATTATTATTATTATTACTTTATTTTGTTTTTTACTTTTGCTTTTTTTTTTTTTTTGGTTCATTTGTTAATGTTATTACTATTATTTATCAACATTTAAATATAATTTAATTTAATCATTTCTTTTTAATAGTTTTTTTTTTTTCTTTTTTTTTTTTTTAATATTATTATTACTATAAATTTATTATTAATTTATTCTATATATTTATCTATTTATTCATTTGTTTTTTCTTCAGTTTCTTCATTATTGGAAGAGGATGATCCTTGCATTTGCCATGCTGGAATAGCTGGTTTTTGACTTAAAAATGAAAATCTTTGAGTCATAGAAGAATCAACTTCATTTGTCTTCTTTACTTCATTTGGTTTAACTTCTCCATTAAGTGAAGAGGTAGAACCAGTTGTTTGATTATTAATAGACATTCTATTAACAATTAATGATTTTAATGATTTTATTTCGTTTTGTAAATCTTGTAAAACTGAATCATTTGTTTCTTTTGATTTTTCGATCATCTTTTTAATTTTTAAATTTTTATATTAGTAATAGCAGTAATAAAAAAATAAATAAATATAATAAATATAATAATAAAAATAATAATTATAGAAATATTTTAAACATTAATAATTGATTTTAATAATAATATATATTAAATAATAATTTATCAAGAAAAAAATAAAATATAAAATATTAAATTTTTTATATAATATATAAATATTTTATATATATATATATATATATATATATATATATTGACAATAAAAAAAAACTTTTATTCAAATAAATAATAATCATTAAAAAATATATTTTTATAAAAAACTTTCATTCAGATTTCTTTTTTTTTTTTTTTTTTTTTTTTTTTACCTTTGGAATTAAAGTTTTAACATTTTCTAAATCATTTTTAATTGTTCTAATTTCTTCATCTCTCTTTTCATCAGCTTCTTTTAAACCATTTAATGATTTGGTTAATGTATCCATAAAATTTTTAATTTTTTCACCTTGTTCATCCATTAATTTTATTGCAGCTTGAGTCTCAACTTTTGAAGAGTTAAGAGCTTCACTAGCGACTTCTAATTGTTTAGATAATTCTTCATTATTTTCTTGAAGATCTTTTGTTGAAGGAATTTGAAGAAGGTCTGGTAAATACTTCTAATAATTTTAATTTCATCATTTATTCATAAAAATTCAATAAACATTTATTGAATACATTTTCAATAATAATTATTACATGATATTAACAAATACAATAATATATATATTAATTATTAAATGGTATATATTTAGCAAATATATATTTCAATTATAAAACAACAAATACAGATTTCAAAATTTCTCATTATTTTACAATGATTTTAAATAAAAAAAAAAAATAAAAATTACTGAATGATAATAAAAATAATTATAGTTCTTAATTACCTTTAAAGCTCTATATAATGCATAACTAACTCCACCAATTATTGCTGTACCAATGAAATAATCTTTCCATCCTAAATATTTTGGAGGTGGTTGAACAATTTGCATATATGGGTTTGGTGGAAGTTGTGGAGCTGCACCACCTGCTATAACAGCAGTTGATTGAGATTTAGGAGCATTTCCATTAGCCCTTGAAAGAGCTTCTTCTATTTCTTCTTGTGTTAAACCTTTAGATTCAAGAAAAGCTACTCTTTTAGCTAATGGGGCTTTTTGAACTTTTGGATCTTTTAAAAAACTAGTAGCACTACTAACTAAATTTTCTCTTATAGCCATGGTGGTACTATTTATATATATATATTGATTTTAAATATTAAAATATTAAATATGAAATAAAAAATATTAAGAATAATAATTAATAATTGCTATATTTTTATCTTATTGATTCAATTCAATAAATTATTAATTTATATACAAATTTATATATTTTTCTTAATTAATAATTACTTTTTATATATAAATAACTCTATTGGAAAAAAAAAAATAAAAAAAAAAAAAAAAAATAAAAAAATAAATAAAAAATCATAAAAAAAATGTAGAGAGTCTAATAATCATGTGATAAAATCAGATTTTACTAATAAATTTCATAAATTTTAATTAAACTATATTAATTTTATTTTATAAATGAATTTCAAAAAAAAAAAAAAAAAAAAAAAATTTATAATTTTTTCGTTAAATAGCAAAAAGTAAAAAAATATATAAAATATATATTACTCATAGTGAATGAAGTAATGAACTTGAAGGAGGAATGAATTTTAAGTAGATTTATATATATTTTTAAAATAATATAATAAATAATATTTTTTTAACTTATAATAAAATGTAATTTTATTTAAATGCATAAACAAATTAAACTTATTCATATATTCTAACAAATTTAAATTTATTTAAATAATGGTGATTAAAATAATGATAAAGTAATAAATTTTTTTCATAAAAACTACTAATTTCAATATAGTAGATATGAAGTCTACAAATTATATTTATAATTTGCCTTAATTAAATGATAAATTTTTGAAATTTTTATCATTCTATTATTGTGAATTATTATTTCAATCATTTGAGCTCCCAATTTTCACTTCGGAAATCATGATTTTTTAACGTATGAATATTGTATTATAGTTAAAAATATATATATATATATTGCATTATAGTTAAAAAAAAAAATATATATATATATATATATATATAGACACACATATACTGTGTACTCATCTACCATTAGTGCCCCAATAGTTATTACTGAAAGTGTGATGATATTTGGCATACCAGTGCAGTGTTGCCGTTCATAACACGTCGTTACATGTCTTCCCAGAGTTAAACTCCCTATACATTCCTACATATATCACCATTAACCACAAACATCAGAAAGGGAACCGTTCACTCTCCCCCTTGTGGGTGTAATCACTGGCGTGTTGGAATTCGTCTGTCCTAATTCCTATGGAATTAACGAGAGACGTTATCAAGGTCTATGATTAAGTCATAACGTAGTATCAGGGTTGGGTGAATAAGATGTCAAGAGAAAGCCTTTTGGATACCACTGTGGTTGCATGATACCCGGAATATAAAACCTCAGCATTTACTTATTTAGTACCATATCGATTATTCGAACCCCGGCCACTACAGTAACCTGTATTATTCTAACCGACTAAATCAATATGGTTAAAAAAAGCAATTAACTAAAAATTAATATTATCTATTTGCTTTTTTTTTTTTTTTTTTTTTTTTTTTAATTAGCATTAAAATATGAAGAAATTTTTATAAATTGAAATTAAAATATTTTTAAAAATTATAAATGTATCATGTTTAGGCTAATTCTAATTTAATTTATAATTTAAAATAGTATTTATATATAATTACTTTCATTATATATCTTTACTCAATATTTAAAATAAAATAAATTCATATATCATTAATATATCCAATTGAAATAAATTTTTTAAAACAAAATTTATCATAAAGATATAGAATTTCACCAATAACAAATAAAATAAGAAAAAAAAAAAAAAAAAAAACTTTATAAAAAATACAAATGAAAAATATCATCCTTATTATTATATTACAAGTAATTAAAAATTTTTAAAATAAAAAAAAAAAAAAAAAAAAAAAAAAAAAAAGTAATAAATAAAATAATAATATATATGTATTATATATAATATTTATTGATAATTTGTAATTAAGATTTATATAAATTATATATGTTATTTTTATTTTTCTATTCTTATGAAATATATATATATATATTTTCTTTTTATAATTAATCATATATCATAATTTAATAATATAATCTTAAGAAAATAACAATTAACATTAAATAAAACAATGAACTAATTAATAAAAGAATCTTAAAAATCTAGATTTAAAATAATACCAATTTTTATCATTTTAAAAAAGGAATAAAAGTATTAATTTAAAATGATAGTGATTAAAATATTATTAATCTTATAAGTTAACTGAAAAAATTTTATTAAAATTAAAAAAGTCGAAAGAAACTAATAGTATTTCCCCATCAGTCAATTTATTTATTACAAACAAAGCTAAAAAAAAAAAAAAAAAAAAAAAAAAAAAAAAAAAAAAAAAGTATATAATACTATACCTCATTCTCAAGGAGAAGTATCAAAGTATCTGATTCATTCGCAAGTACAGTATTATCTATCAATACTAAAAATAAATATACCTTTTTTGATTATGAAGAATGTATGTGAAGTATAAAGGTTAATAGTAGTATTAAATCAAATTATAATTTAAATTTATATTTCTATTTATTACTATTACTATTATTAATATAATTTAAACATATATATAATTCTTATTATTATAAATTTTATTTATTTATTTATTTATTAAATTAATAATTTAATACAAAAATAAAAATAATTCATTTTTTTTGGTCAATATTTTTAACGACCATAGCAGGATTTCTCCCCAGCTGCACATCCGTAGACACACAATGGTTTATTACTACATCCCTTATCTAACATCCTACTTAGTAGGTGGTCCTGTTCCTGCTGGACTGCCTTACAGTTACTCTGCATTGGCGCTCCTTACCCGAGTATAAATACTGCTTGTCATTGTACGATAATCTTACAATTGGGTCTTGCAGCCACAATCTCCAGGATATATATATTGTAATAATTTTTAAATAAATAAAATCTTTAGTTCATTATTACATTTTTTCATTTAATAAAAATTTCCCTGATTATAAATAATTAAAACTTTATATTAGTTTGAATCATTTCTATGAAAGTTAAAAAAATATAAAAAGCCCTCTAGCCATTAATATTAAATTGAATTAAATAAAGTTCATTTAAAGTCAAAAAAATGGAATAAAATAAAAAAAATATGGTCTTTTTAAAATCTTATTCATTTTATTTTAAAAAAATTAATTAAAAGAAATGTAATACAAATACTCGAATTTATTTATTTATTTATTTATTTATTTATTTATTTATTTATTTATTTATTTTAAAAATATCCATTTAAATAAGAAAAAAACTAAAAGTTAAAACAATTTAACATTCCTTAATTCTATCAATGAAGAATACTAACCCTTCACATATACTTTAAAGAATAAATATTTCTGTAAAAATAATTATATGAAAAAGTTTTATTTATTACTTTTATTTTTATTTTAATTTTATTTTATTATTTTATTATTTTATTATTTTATTATTTTATTATTTTATTATTTTATTATTTTATTATTTTATTATTTTATTATTTTATTATTTTATTATTTTATTATTTTATTATTTTATTATTTTATTATTTTATTATTTTATTATTTTATTATTTTATTATTTTATTATTTTTAATGATATTTTTAAATTAAAAAAAAATTAAAATAAAAATATATATAATTTACTTTTTATAGTCATTTTTCATGTTCCAATATATATATATATATTGGATTGGGATTAACATGAAAGGAGGACAATCAGGTTTCCAGTTTCTCCCTTAAACGTATCAGACTCTCATAGGATTCTTCCTCATACTGTTTAGGCTAATATGAAAGACATTCTTTATACACCGTTTTACTATGATGGGGCTTCTTTTCCGTGATCTCTTAAACCATTGTCAAGGGAGCAACAGCTACACTAATCCTCTCACAGATTAATTGCTCTCTGCACTAGTAATTTTATAGTCTAACAACAGAAATATTTACCATGAGAATAAAAACTAGAAAGACTTTCCAATACACTAATTATTAAAAAATTTCAATTATTTCTTACTTAATATTTTTAGCTTTAAATAATTACTGTAGTAATAAAAATAAAATATTCTTATTAATATTAATATGAATATTGTAAAAGGAATATTAAATGTATATGTAATTTTTTTTTTGTAGCTTAATTTATTATCAAATAATTCATATAAACAATTTAAACATTTATATGAATAATCAAACATTTATTAAATATCATAAAAAATTTTTTTGTAGAAAATTCTAAATAAATAAACTATATAAAGAAAAAAATAAAGATAAATAAATAAATCTTATAAACATTTAATAAAAATAAAACGAAATAGAAGTATTAATTTATATATTTACATTTAATTAATATATATCTAAAAACAAAAAAATTTTGATACATTCTTTGTTTATATTTATTAGATCATTAATTCATTAATTAAAAGTATACCAAAAGAAAAAATAATAATAAAATAAATAAATTTGATATTTGTATTGCAATTTTTTTAATAATAAATAATAAGTATATTAATAAATAGATAATAATTAAATAATAAATAAATAATTAATAAATAAATAAATAGTTAATAGATAAATATATGTATAAGTTCAATTTTTATTATTAATTTGAAACGGTTAAATTAATTACTATATATGGATTTATTGATAAGACCATTACCATATATTATTTAAATATTCAAAGTTTATTAAAAATAAAGGTACAATATATTATATAAATAATATGTTATGTATAATGTAGTGTCATATATTATTATTATATTTATTAATAAATTATACTTATTAAATTTTTTTTCATACAATATTTTGTATTTTTAGGAAAATTTTATCAATATAAAATTTATTGTTAATCCCTTTTTCTATATATATTAATATATATTAATAATATATTTCTTGATTTAATGTTTTTTTTTTTTTTTTTTTTCAGTTTTTGTAACATCTTGAAAAATTATTATTAATAAATTAATTATTTATTTGATTATCTAAATATATTAACTATATATGTATTATGGCTCAAATAATTATAATGTATATAAAATTATTAAATAATTATATGTATATTTATATAATGTGGCTTAAAATTTATAATAATTGTAAAACCTATGTGTCATATGTAACGGTATAAAAAATTTTTAATTTATTACTGTATAACTCATATTATCATTAACCAATACCATTAAAATTTTAAAAAATAAAAAATAAAAAAATAAAAAAAATAATAATAAATAACAAAGAAAATTATTAATAAATAAATTAAAATTAGAATAAAATAAGAACAATAAAAATATATATTAATTAAATAAAATAGTTTCTATTTTACTTTTTCCTTTTATTTTTTTTTTTAATTTAAAAAAAAAGAATCGTTTTACTTTAGCATAATTAAACAGTGAAGATTAAATTTAATAATATTAATTACTATTTATTAAAATAAATAATATCAATTAAAAATAGTATATAAATTATTTATTTTTATATATAAAACCGAATTGTATTTAATATTTATTTATTAAATAATATTTTAAATCTTTTCTTTTAATATTTGTATATTTATTTATTTTTTTTTATTTTATTTATTTTTATTTTAATAAAAATTTAATCAATAAATCAAATAAACAAATCAACAAATATTAAGAAAAAAAAGGGAAAGAATTTTATATATTAGATTTCATTTATAAATATCTTAAAGTAGAATTAAATATATACTTTCATACATTCATCAATATTAATATTTTAAAAAAGCAATATAATTTCATTCAAATCAAAAAAAAAAAAAAAAAAAAAAAAAAAAAAAAAAAAATACTATAAAATAATTAAAAAATAATATAAAATTAAAATTTTAAAATAAACAATAAATCACTCAACAATAATAATAATTATAATAAAAGAAAAAATAAATAAATAAATATTAATTTAAATGAATTAAGTAAAGTAAAATTAAAAAAAAAAAGTATAGTGAACATAAATAAAAAATAAAAATAATATTATATTTATTTTATATAAAACTTAATTTTTGTTTGACATGAAAATTAAAGTAAATAAAATAATATAAAGTAAATAAAATATTCTCTAAATATATAAATAAATATTAAAATAAATATTTTATATTTATTTTAAGTTTTTTATAATACAATAAGAAAATATTTGTAAATATAAAAACGTTTTGTATTAACCTAATCGTTTATGATTAATAACCATTATAAAATATAGAACTTTTATAACTATTTATTTTTTTATTTATTTTTGGAAATAATATATATAATAAAAATTAACTATTTATAAAATTAAAGTTTAAAAAAAAATATATATATATAAATATAAATAACAAAATTTTGAAAAATAAATATGGATAAAAATAACCAACCAGGATGTCCACCAAGATTGGCTTCTTTTGATGTGGCCTTAGACCACAAAATAACAAATCAATATACGAATAGTTCACAAATTCGATCTTC